AAAAAAACATATTGAGAGGAAAAAAAAAACGAGGGGGGGGGGAAGGGGTGAGGGGGATCTGTAGCATGGAAGGGAAGGGGAAGCAGAAGTAGTCAGATTAGAGCTAGGAACGTGTTGAAGTCAGACACGCACCTCATCAGGGCCCATGTAAGTGTTGGTGGAGTTCTAAATCCGACATTGGTGGCCAGTAAGGGTGGCTTCGCGTTCCTGAGACCTGGTATGGTGTGGAATCCGCGAATATGGCGCAGTGGTTCATTCTACCATTATTGTACCATACTCCGGTGAATAGAGATATTCTAAACAGTAAAACCAAGTTTTACGGAACGCGCTGTCTCTGTGGTGTAGGGTAGCAGTCATTTCCTCCATTACACGAATCTCATCCACCCTGCGGAGCCACATCCTCACTGTGGGTGGGTCAACACTCTTCCAATACAGCGGAACACAGGTTCTGGCAGCGTTGATCAGGTGTATCAGCAAAGATTTGCGGTATCGGGCCCTGGGCAGTGGAGACAAATGGAGCAACACAGCAGCCGGATCTCCCACTAGCGACATTCCTGTGAGTTGTTTGATAATCCGCAGGACTGCATCCCAATACTCCCCGAGGCATCGACATGACCAGAAGATGTGGAGAATGGAGCCCTCCTCTTCTCCACATCGCCAGCACGTCGGAGGGGTCTGAGGGAACATTTTGTGAAGCTTGGTGGGGACATAATACCATCTGGTGAGTATTTTATAGCCTGATTCTTGTATTGAACTTGCTATCGAGGCATTGTGAGCATGTGATCTTTTTGGTCTTGAGTGTAAGCAATGGCCAGATCCCTCTCCCACCGCGCTATGAAGCTAGGTTCAGGCAGGTCAGTCAGCATTGTCGTGAGGGTGTAGGCCTTGGACAGGCCATGGTCCACGTAACCGCCTGCCAAACATATTTCCTCAAAAGGTGTCAAGTCTGTACGTGGGGGTGGAGAAGTGCTAGATTTAGATAGGTAGCTACGCAGCTGGAGGGCCTGCCAACGCAGCAGTGGGGGTACGACCAGGCCCCTAAGCGAATCCAGGCTGAGGAAATCCCTAATAGGTCTGAAATGTCCAATCCGGAAACGATTTGATTCCACCGGGCGTATGAAAGAGCTGTCCGCTAGGCTGGGGGCAAAGGCAGGGTCACCCACAACCGGGGACATTATAGAGGGAGAAGCGCTGTCCGGGAGTATTGCGGGTGTCATCCTAAGCACACGTATTGTGACACCCGTAATCGGGTGCTGGAGTATGTCCCTGGGTAGGGGTGATGTAGTCCACAGCAATCCCGCCATTGGCAAGGGAGAAACAACCTGTCTGAATTGCAACCAACGTTTGTCTGAAGACACATTACACCATTCGAATGCCCGAGCCATATGCACAGCCAAATGATATCGAATGGGGTCTGGAAAACCGATCCCCACTCTAGATTTGGGCAGCGCCATCAAGGATTTGTTCAGCCTGTGAGTACCGTTTGCCCACAAAAAGGAGGCAAACTCTCTCCACACTAATTTCAGAAATGTCATTGGGATGTGCACTGGCAAGGGTTTGGAACAGGTAGAGTAGACATGGGAGAATATTCATTTTCAATACGCTGTTTCTCCCAAACCATGAAATGGTATGGCCCGACCACTTGGCTAGGCCGCGTCGGATTTCGGAGAGCAGTGGCGGAAAGTTCATCTCAAAAACTTTGGTAACGGACGAGGGCAGCTTTGTCCCTAGGTAAGTGATATGTGAAGTGGACCAGCGAAAAGGATAGGCCGTCTGCAGACCTGTGAGAGTGGATGAGGGCACCGTCAGATTGAGTGCCTTGGATTTCTGGAAGATGATTTTAAAGTTTGAGGACTCTCCATAGGTCTCTAATTCCACCATCAGGTTTGGAAGGAAGAGCGTAGGCTTAGTCAGTATGAACAGAAGGTCATCAGCGTAGCCTGCTATTTTGTGTGTCTTTGGACCAGGAAGCAGTCCAAAGATATCTGGGTTGTCTCTGATTCTGCAAAGTAAGGGTTCCAGTGATAGAATAAAAAGTAAAAAGGGGAGAGTAACCCTGACGGTGTTGCCCTTAGCGTCTCTATGCGGCAAAAAGCCTACTTGGTCTTGTAAAGGTTCGAGAAAAAGTCTCTGAATCAATCGGCTATGGCCTCTGAGTTGAAAGAGGATTGCCGTCTCGCCCTGTAATAGTGGGGACAAATGTTTGGGCTCGGGCATTCCTGAGTGCTAAGGCCAGGGACCTGCTAGGCTTGTTGCCATATTCAAAGTACGAGCGTTTAACCCTTTCGCTTTGATCCTACCTAGCAGGATATCATTAAGTTTTTGACGTAATGTCCACAACTCGGCCTTCACAGCCCTTGCGAGGGTTTGTTTATGGCGGGACTCTAGGTGGCTAATTTGATCCAACAAAGAGGAGATAGTTTCAGCGCGTTTTCGCTTTGCTTGGGAGGCATGAGCTATGAAGATGCCCCGTATACAGCACTTGGAAGCTTCCCAAATTGAGAGGTGGGATGACTCCGGGGTCTGGTTGTGCTGGAAAAAGTGAGTAAGGTCTTGCCTAATACGGTCCGTCAGTAGGGCATCATCAAGAAGGAGGTGGTTAAGCTACCAATGCCACGGGCTGGGCCCCTCCGAATGGAGCAATATGTCCATCAGGATCGGGGCATGGCCAGAAATCGTAATGACGTCTATAGAGGTGTGGCGCACCCTGTGTAGGTCTTGCTGCCTGACCAGGAAATAATCTATCCTCGAGTAAACTCTGTATGCGGTGAAGTAAAATTAATAGTCACGCTCTCGAGCGTATAAGACGTCACACGTCTACCAGGTGTTCTGTGTGCAGGGTCTTACGGAGAAAGGTGTAAGAGAGATGGGAGGCATTTCTGGAGACATCTAGTTGCGGGTCAAGGGCAACGTTAAAGTCGCACCCCATAATAAGGATCCCCTCTGTGAAATCTGATAGAGCTAGGAGGCATTCTTCCAGAAAGGAGATCTGGCCAGTATTGGGGGCATAGATGTTGACCAAGGTCACTAGTGAGCCGTATAGGCGTCCCTTAACAAATATGTATCTGCCCTCAGCATCCCCTGATACCTGATATCTAGGGCTGGTAATGATTAAAATTTTCCGGTTCGATTAATCGATTTTTTTTAATCGATTAATTTCGATTAATTATAACGCACATACAGAGGGGGGTCTCACCAGAGCTTTGAGGGGGCCTCACCAGGGTAGCAGGGCTCTGTGGGGTCTAATCTGCTGGGTCCTCGCAGCTGAGGTAACGAAGGGAAGGGGGAGGAGTCCGGTGACGTCACGTACATCGACATCAACGGACTCCTCCCTCCTTCCCTTCGTTACCAATCACGGACAACTACATCACCCGACTCCTCCCCCCTTCCCTTCGTTAGCCGACAGAGCCACTCGGGGAGGGGGGGAGGAGTCCGGTGACGTCGATGTCCGTGACGTCACCGGATCTCCGACGGAAGCCGGCGGAGAGGTGAGTACTTTGATCGATCAAAATAATTTTGATCGATCAAAGAAATTAACGATTTTTTCGCAGCTGGGGACGTGCTATGGTACACGAACGGGAAGCGTTGATCAGAGAGTCGTGGGATGCAGCCCAACTGAAAATGAGTCTCTTGAAGTTAAGCTACCTGCACCCTGTCTCTCCATAAGTCCCCCCGGACCCTTGACCGCTTTTCCGGAACATTAAGACCCTTTACGTTCCAGGAGAGGAATTTCGTGGGTAGTGCTGCCACTTCGCTATCCACCCGACGGGCCATATCTGCTGTCAGAGAGGAAAAAGGGCAAGGTGGGAGGAAGAAGAGTGAAAAGGGGGTGAGGGGAAGGGTCAAGGAAAGGTAAGTAGGACACAATCGACAAGGAATGGGTAGTACCTGATATAGCGGGACTGGCTGAGGGGTCAGCCCACTATAGGAGACAAAAAGACAAAAACAACAAGACACATATGTAGCAAGACAATAGAATACTTAAATCTTCAGTACTAAAACTATGTCACTAAGCTAAAACAGCCCCCAACGCTTTCAGCGCAGAGGAAATCTATGTGGAGGAATGAGAAGCAAGGGAACATGATGAGAAGCTCCCCCGGGTACCCACGTAAGTAGGGTATCCCCATATAGAAATTAAAAACAAAATAGAACTCAACAACAATAGAACAACCCATTGGAAGCTATTAGCGGGGACGGAGCGTTAGCCCCCTATTATAGGGGATCTCGCAGGTATGTTAGTATAACAATGGTAAAAGACAAACTGTCCTGCAGGGCAACGTTGCATCCCTCAAAGTAGATTATAACGTAACGATTGTATACCTTTACGCTTAGCTAAGTTCTCAGCTCCCCGTGAGGACCAATACAGAGTAGAGAGTCAGAGGCAGAGATATCAATGCCAAAGGGGTAGTAGCTCCCAGGAATACGACCCTTGGTGGGAGAGAGGAACTAAAATCTCCGTCCCTGAGCCCCCCGCATCAGCAGCATTCCAACGCCCCCCGCCCCCATCCACACCTCTCCACCACCGTCTCAGGACCGCCACCGCCGCGCAACAGGGCGCTAGGTGTGGGTGTACATCTATCGGCCATCCGCTGGGCACCGCCCCGCGGTGTGTGGGAGCCGATAAAGTGGACTAACCTGCGAGGGTGGTGTGAGGACTCCCCATTGTTGTATCACTGTGACACAAACAGGTCATGTGCGAGGGAAGCCACGGGACTGGCTATCCAGTGTGATCAACCTAAGATAATAGAAATAGAAAGGGATTACGGCAAAGAAAGCATAGTAAAAACCAGTGAGTGTATAGATGCATTGTTGGAGCCAGTCCCGGAAGTCAGCGATCTTCTCGGTCCGAAACAGTGACCACAAAAGCTGTCATCTGGGTCTTTCACATGTGGGGGGGGGACAGGGGGACGGCAGGAAAGTCTTGGCAAAGTCCTGAGGTGGACTCCAGGGAGGGAAGCACTAAAGTCTAAGGCTCGCGTCAGTGAATAGCGAATGCACCCTCAGGCCTCATGGGAAGCCGGGTCCGAAACCTGCTCGGCTCTGCTTTGGTATCGCGAGCGCCCTCTGCGTGGCCCCTGGGGTCTAGGAACCGTGGGAAGGCTAGGCCTCGAGGCGGTGGGGGCCAGGAGCCAGTTGGAGACGGCAAGGCGAACAGCTCAGGGAGTTGTTCGGGTGTCATCAGTAGAAAGGTGGCTCCGTTCTTCTGAACCTGCAAGTGGAAAGGGTGGCCCCATTTGTAAGACGCACCAGCTGACGAGATCTGTGCAAGTAGTGGGCGAATCAAACGTCTGAGGAAGAGCGTATGTCCGGAGAGATCAGGCAGCACAGTGATCTCTGCTCCTTAAAAATCCACAGATTTCTTGAGCCAGGCTTGCCTCATTATGGCCTCTTTCTGCACGAAAAAATTAATAGGAGGTCGTGGGGTCTCTATCCAGCAGTTGGTTTAGGATGGCTTGGGTCGTGGATCGAAGGTCGACCCCAGTAGTGGATTCTGGGACCCCTCGCAGGCGTACATTGTTGCGGCGGTTTCTATTTTCGCCGTCGTCCATTTTTAAATACAATAAGGCATGGGCCCTATGCTGGGCCACGGCTGCGGACTCCAGGGCAGCCACTCGGGATATCAGGTCAGCGTGGGACGTTTCAACTACAGTCACTTTCCGTTCAAGAACTGTGACCGTTTGGGCTACCCCCTCTCTGCGCAGGGTCCCCTCCACTTGTTGAGCGAGGCGACTAACGTCCTCTTTCGTGGCCAGAGAGTGGAGGAGTGCTCTGATTTCCACCCCCAGGACAGAGGCCAATACTGGTGACAGCGGATGGACCGGGGGCAGGCTAGGCGACCGAATGGGCGAGCAGTCACGGTTGATGGCCCAGAGGGAGAGGGGGCTGCATCCAGTAACAACTGACCTGGAGAGGAGGGGGCCGCCACGCTGGAGTCAAGATGGCCGCTCGGCATCATGGTGTCAGGCGCGTCTGCCGGGAGTCTGGGGCTGGGGATAGTCCACCGGGAGGTTTGCTTGCGGGTTCGGGTTGATTTCCGACTACCAATCATGGGGAGAAAATCGAGTTTGCTGCCTGCAGTCCACTGAAACAGGTAGGTGGGGAGCGGAGCTCAGCACTCACACGGCTCTACGGCTCCATTGCTTGGCCACGCCCCCTACATACTGGACATTTACATCAGTCCCTACCCTCAAGGAGCTTACAATCCAAGGTCCCTATCTCACCTGCACACAGGGCCAATTTAGAGAGGAGCCAATGGATGGAGTCAACAGGAGTAACTGGAGGAAACCCACACAGCACTAGAGAACATGCAAACTCCTTGCAGATAGTGTCCTGACTGGGATCCGAACTGGGGACCCCCAGTGCTAACCACTAAGACACTGTACTGCTCTTTTTCTATCTCCCTGATATTCTATAGTTCTACCGAATAAAGTGGTCAGTGTAAATTAGTAAACTTCAGGAGGCATACTTCAATTGACAGAATGATAGCTTATATAGGTTAATGGCAAGGGCAGGTTTACACCATTTTCCGGACCAGATCTGGAGCGCAGTGCATTGCATTTTTACCGCGATTGGGCATATTTTTTCTTTAGCTTAAAATGCTCTTACAGGTGCGTTCCAGTGTGTTTGTATACATTTGTGATGCGTTTCCATGCATTCCAGACCAGACAAAAAAAGACAAGCAATATTTTTCTGGTCTGGAGCAGACTGCACTGGTGTGAACAGAGGCCAGAAATAGCATAGGGATACATTAGGATGCATTTTGGGACCGAAAACAATCTGGTCAAGAGATGATCCGGACATGGTGTGAATGGGCACTGATCATAGGACATGCTACAGGTGTATACCATTTATATACAAGCAGCAGATGTGTGTTACCTTGCACCTGGGCTGTTGGTTCCAGACTGATTTTGCAGGAGTAATTTCTTCTTCTCTTTGTCTAGTTCTGCTAAAATAGCAACCCTGTTTTTGTTCGGAAAACCTGCAAAACAAACATAAAGTCATGCAGCGGACAAGCACTTAAAATTCCTGAGAAATAAATTATCTTAGTTTGTTAAATGAAAAAAGAAGAACCAATGTAATTTGTATTCAAGACAAGATAAAGAACCAGTTTAACATTTACGGTTATCGGGTTTAGAAGAGAATGTTACTTTAGTAAAGAGATTCAAAGGGCTAAAGAAATAAAAATAATTGACAAACCTGACTGCAGTCATCCAAAAACTAAATCTATGGCAAAGCAATGACATTTATTCTGATCAAATAAATACCTTTGGTAATTGTGTATCAGTAGAATGCCAGATACTGCAGTCATCATCACAACTGACCTACATGAGCAGTGCAGCGAAGCTGGGAAGAAAATATGTAATCAAGGCAGGTTGCAAAGAGCGCTCGTTGAAAAACTAGAGAGGCTAAGCGTTTACATGTTAAAACTCCGGGCTTGTTGTTGTTATAGTTTAGCTAGAGTAGGGAATGGTTAGAACCTCTGTCAGTTTTTTCTTTATTTTTGCTGTCTGCATCTCTGCTGCAGAGATTCGCCCTCTCAATTTGTCCTGGTGACCATGGTGTCTGAGACAGAGAAGCTGATTTACTACAGAAGTTGAGAATCTTCCATGAAAAACGTGTGAATTCTCCAACCCCTTGCTCACACCAAATCACAGCATAAATTGGCGATATACGTTATGTTGGCAGCTCAACAGACTACTGCCTATGCATGGAAGAAGCAATTCGCATCTTTTAGCTCTCATTCACACTGGAATCGTCCCGCAAGTATCGGGCAGCTCCCGGGAAGGACAGGTGCTGCGTGTGATTAGTACGCAGCCCCCATCCTTCTCTATGGGACTACGCGGCCGTACACCCCCCTACGCTCACCTCAAGTGCAGGTCCGTAGGGAGGGCGTATTTCCTGGCTCGGACACAGACAGGATCCATCCTGTCAGTGTACGAGTACGCTCACCCGTACGGATGTGCAGGTCGGGTGAGCGTAGGGCGGCGTATGGCCACGTAGTCCCATAGAGAAGGACAGGGGCTGCGTACTAATCACACACAGCACCTGTCCTTCCCGGGAGCTGCTGGATATGGCCCTGCACGCAGCATGGGGCTGTACGTGCGGGCTGATTCCAGTGTTAATGAGACCATAGGGAAGTTAAGCAAAGGATGGATCTTTTCTTTCTCAACCAAAAATTGACCAGTATACTTTTGGATTCCAACAAGAGGTTTGAGAGAATTTGGCAGCCTTGGATTAATTATGCTCACCCGTCGCTCTATTCGGAGAGTGTGACCTTTTTGTAGAGAGCCAAACCCCTCTAAGTTGAGAAATAAGATCTGCTGAGATGTCTCATCTTTTTTTTTATTTCCAATTTTGTTTATTTTTACTTGTTTGTCCTTTGTCTTTTTTGAGATGCTATGAATATGTCGATTGTGTTTCTTGTATTGCAAATGTGTTACAATTCTTTGGAACTGGAAAAACGTGTGAATATTCACTTCATTTATCCAAACATGTGAAAAGTATTTGCTCATGATTGAATATGGACATTGAACAGGGATATGATTTTCACATGACTATATAACTGAAGTGAATTTTCACACAATTTTTTCAGTGTGTAGAGTCATTTTCTAAAATGTTTCCTCACCTTTTCCCCCACCCCCATTGTGCTAATTTACACCACACACCCATCTACACCAGACTGATTTGTCTCCTGATACAATAGAAGTCTATAAACCCAGGTATACAAGCTTATATTTGCCTTATTCAACCTGTGGGCTGAATGAACAAACTATAACAGATTCTTCCATCAACGCTTACGAGCATTGATGGATGAATCCCGCTGTTTGCACTGTATTCTGACAGTAGCTGCTGTCAGAATACCCAAACAGAGCTAGCAATTCATGCAGCTAGCAGCCAAACATTTTCCAACAAGCTCCTTTGATCAGCTGAGGAATGCCGGGCAAAAGGGTGCTGACAGCAGCACCCACTGTGTGAATTTCATCTGGTTCATCAAGAACCCACTGAAATTCATACCGTATATACCTGGCTTAGGCTTCTATAGCGCATGCGTAGAAAGCGAGACCCAGACCCAGCATTTAGTGACAGTGCTGCTGATCTCCACTAACCTCCAGCAATCCCCATACATACTAGCAATTTGCTCCCAGCACAGGAAGTCTCCCACTGCTAACAATTTATTTGCTGCTTTCTGCAGTAGATAATGTGACATGTACGTGTCACAAATAAGTTATTAGAGACAGGAGACTTCCTGTGCCTTGAGCCGATTGCCTGTATCTGGGGGGAAAAAACAGAAAAGATCTTTATCATGGTATGTTAGCTCTGTTAATTGAGCCTATAGGCACTTTGTCCAAGTGAATGTTGTATGTGACTAATTAGAAACAGAAACTCTGTTTATGTTGACCATATATTATTGACTACACAAGGGCATGTGGTAGCTAATGGATAATGGAAGTTTTCTTTTATATGAAATGAGTTTACTTAGGGGCACTTAGTTCACCCACTGCTCCAAGGTAGATATTGTCTGAAATGCAACTGTTCAATGTAGCTAATGTTTGGTCAATATTAATGCATGTGTTGTGTCTTGAGTCAAATGTGAATGTAAGTCAGGCAGATACAATTTAAAGATCCTCTCCACTGCATTGTGAGCACATACTTCTTTGATGTATAAGATGCAACCCTGCCAGCAACTTATCAATCATGCTTGAAAGTCATCTACACGAGACATAGCAACTCTATGATCATTCAGGAGACTCCCTGGTTTATATGGCTAAGGGCCCATGTAGAAGGTATTTGTTTTACACTTTTATTGTAAGTCCACAGCCTTTTATTCACTTTAATAGTATACTAAGGTTGACTATTTTGAGGTTGCATTTAACCTGCTTTGAGTTTCCTTAGGATTAGCAGGTCCTATTCAGATCTGTTCACACTGCAGGTCAAATGCATCCTTTGGTCATTTGGGCCCCTCACAAAACAATGCCGCCAACAAATATCAAAAGTGTGTATTTCAGTGCACTTGGGCATCGGTGCAACCATACTTGGTTCTTCTATCTTTTTTTCTTGGGCTTTCTATATTCTGCAAGGTTTAAATTAGGTGGAAGGACGTCTAACCTTCTTCTTCCAGACATATTCAATTTTTCTTTATCTTCCATCGTGTATTAAGATTCTACAGCAGGGGTAGGCAACTTCAGCCTCCAGCTCAAACTACAAATTCCATGAGGCATTGCATGACGTTAACAAGTGCAGTCATGACTTCCAGAGGCAGAGGTTTGATGGGATTGTGTGCCGAGGTTGCCTACCACTAGTCTAAAGAACAGGGATATTGTGCGCTGTGGAGTCTTATCCTGAAATAAAATGTCCTAAACGGTATAGAAAGGTTTTAGCATATTCCCCTATGACTGAATTAAGTGAGCAAAGGCATATCACTGCCTATATCAGGGGTCAGCAACCTTAAACACTCAAAGAGCCATTTGGACCCGTTTCCCACAGAAAAGAAAACACCGGGAGCCACAAAACCCTTTTGACATCTAAAATGAAGATAACACTACATATATCGTTTTTTACCTTTATGCTATGTATAGCATGTATATGTGGGCTTAGTAACGCACTGGACTCTGGGCTTAGTAACGCACTCCACCCAAACCCCCCTCCCCCCCCACTCATTCGAGCTCACCTGCCAAGCCTCACAGCCAGCATCCCAGCCAGATGGTGTGCACTGCAGGGGGTGGGGCATGTGACACACACTTCACCTCTCCCAGCGCCTGTTACTAGGGATGCGGCCGGGAGAGGAGGTGAGTAACAAGACCCGGCCCTTACTGAGAAGCCCGTCAGCAGTGCAGGGCCCTGGGACCCTGCACTGCCGCATATTCCACCAGGGGGGGTGCCCAGGACCGGACCTCACTGGGCCCCCCCACAGCCTGAGGCCCCAGGGGTAGTTCCACCCCTGGACAGGAGCCGCAGCAGAGGGATGAAAGAGCCACATGCGGCTCCGGAGCCGCGGGTTGCTGACCCCTGGCCTATATGAAATGCAAAGCAATCATAAGAGAGTCTGAGCAGCCTGAATATTGAGAAAGGGGATTAGTCAAGTGCCTGCTTACATTTGTCAGGGTTTGGGTGGTAAATGGGTGACTTCAAGCATGGCTAGAACTGAAACCGCCCACAGGAAGCATTATCAATACTTCATTTATTGGCTCAGTTTCAATACTAGGATATGACCCATCAGTCAATATGGGGAATTATTACTGTGAAGTTAACTAAGCTATATAAAAGGTCATTTTTTTCAGTATACAGAATGATCCTAAAATAAAATCATTAGACACTGCACTTAACATGGAGGATACTTGTTTTTTACTTTGATAAAACCTATGTTACGAAACCAGTGAGCTAATGGATGTAAAGCGAGAAGCCGGAGCTCTCTTAACAGCAGTATATCTGCAGCTGAGTGCCCCACAAGTAGATTTAATAGAAACAGAAGAATGTTAATGATATTAACATATCACTTGTATCAAATTACTCATACTGTTGACATTTTACTTACAGAAAAGCACATAATATGCTGAGAAAAACCATCATGCAATAGTAATATCACAAGATGTACTCAAGCTATTTCAGAGAATGTTAAGAGAATGAAAGCACAAAAAGACCATACGTATTCAGTTATCAGGTCGAAGGGGCATTCATCTATGTTCTTCACTTGCTAAGCAAAGTGGCCAGGCAGCAAAACTTAGCAGTGGTAGATAGCTGAAAGTATCTATCTCCCCTGCCAGTTGCTGTGGTTCCTTTGCTGGCCCCTATGTTGCTACAGGAGACAGTAGTGATGTAGGGTTTGGTGGGTGAAACCACAGTCAGCGGCATGGGTACCAGAAGTGTCAAATATCTGTGGTGACAAAGATTTGGCACACTGCCAATCAGAAAGGTAAAAATTGATTTTCTTTTACAGGGCGAGTTTAATTTAATTTTAGCACATAAGCAGGGCTGTTTTAA